GGGTGTGTTTCCTGCGGAGGGTTTTCTATGTGTGAACTGCTGAGCCGTCTGTTCAGAGCACAGATTCTGTGCTTTGTCTCCTCCTTACCGTTCTGCAGTGTGGAGTTTGGGTAGGTGTGGAGGTGCTGTGAGACCGGCCTGCTGGACAGCTGGCCCTTGCAGAGCAGCGCATCTCAGACAGTACTGCAGAGAGCGTTGGCTGGTGGTCCATTGACGAGCTCGCTGATAACGTGGGTCTGACTCTCCTCATTTCCTGCTGCTCAATGGCATTAAAATCAGCTAAAAATACAATGCAGGAAACATTTATAGTGTTACTTTTCCATGTGAGCATTTGCTGTAATTGGTGTAGGGATGTAATGTGACTGTGAATGAGAGTGGAAGGTGTCCACCACACATGCTCTCTTTCTTAGGCTGTGATTCATGCTGTGAAAAAGTTTTGAGTTCTCCCCGGGAGGACACACTTAAAAAAATACAGCCATTTTCTCCAGGAATTGCCCCAAACTTTGCAGCATCGCTGTGAATGAGCTTTACAGTTTCAAGACTGACTCTAGTACTTTTTTGAAAAATAAGAAATGGTAATAGGAGAGAATTATTCATTCTCTGTCTGTCTTGGAGGACTAGAGTGGGGAGTTTGGCAAGGCACAAAGGTAATGTGTCAGGTTTTAATCTCTAAAGGTTTGAACAAAAATCCTGACTTGTGCCAAAAAGGATGACGGGTCTTCTATTTTTCCACCTGGTCCCTGTTACTGCGTGGTGAAATTTGTTAGCATTGGCCAGACAACAGTAGAAAGGGATGCTGTGTTTCAGGGTTCAGGTACCTTGTCAGTGCTCTCAGGAAAATGCTGCTATATGCCTGGATTTAAACAATCCTCAAAGCTACAGTTGGAATGGCCAACAGGAAAGAAAACATTCAGAAGCAACTTCTGTAACACATCTGAACCTGCAATGATCCTGTTTCCTCTGCTTGAACAGGTGTAACCCCATGGGCTTTGGAAAGTAGATGGAGGGGAATGGGTGATGGGTTTCAGGAGCTTTCCCTAGCAGTCTGAACTCAGCATCTCCTCATCTTGCTAGTTTCCATTTGTTTGCTATCTGGAGTCTAGTATGAAACCAGTGGGTGGGTGTTGACCCATTTCATAATGGGCAAGCATCAGCACTACAGAAACCACCTGTGCAGATATCCCTGTTTTTGGCAGCCTTAAGAACTGGAGCCACAGATATGGGAGATGACTCTACTTTTCACCTGCTTGAGTTGGTTCCTGAAATCTCAGGTTGGGACAGATTATGGGTTTGAGAGGAGCTTGCTGTGCTGTGGGCTGTAGGCACCTGTCCTGTGGATATTTCTAGGCTGTCAGCCTCTGCAGCTGTGGTTGCAGCATCTTTCACTAGTTCTGGAAGAGATGATCATTTTAAAGTGAGAGCAAGGTTGGAGAATGTGATGGCTACTTCTCATGCAAGCAGTATAACCTACTTTGCCCAAGAGAATTTAGAGCTCCGGAGTAAGCAGCTTGACTGCAGGGTCTCTGCAGGTGCTCACTGACTTGCTGGGCTTGCCTCCCTCTCTCCCTTATGTCCATCATGGGGATGTCTGAATCTTAACAGTGAAGAGAATTTAGCTACGACAGTGGTGAATGTTCCAAGGAACATTGAGTGGCTGGGAGCACACTGCTGGCTAATTTACACACATTATTATATTCCTATTCCCATCTCATCAATAATTCCAGACCTGGGTCATCACTTTTCCTCTTCCCTCCCTCTCACTGTCTTCTCCTTCTCCATAAATCAAGGGCTATTTTAGTGCAGACACTGGGGAGCACAGAGAAGAAAGGTAAACGGACTAGAGCCAGGCACCTCTGCCTCCAGTTGCTTTGCAAAGGCCAAGAATAAATGACTAAACCAACATCTGGGTTATCAAGAGGACAGACCGTTTGAATGCTTGGGTCGTTTTTTTTTCCTGTTTACCTCTCCAAGTACCTCCTACTTTCTCCCCTCTGTCTGCAAGAGCCAAGCTGTTAACAATTAAAAGAAATGATCTTCCTTCAGGTTTTGACTTGATTGTATTTGTATTCACAGCAGTTTAGCTAAGGAGCTTCTGTCAGGCAGCTGCAGGGAATGGGTCTGGCTTACAGGGGGCATTGAAAGCTCATTTTTCTCTATTGCTTCCAGGTTCTCTTTTAATTGTTCTGTTTTTTAAGTGACTTGTTTTTAGGGCAGGTTAAAGGTGCCAGATTGACAACCACAGAGACTTACAGCTGCCATATATTCCTGGGATGGATTCAGCATGAGCCACGATAGTGAAGTCTGTCCCCTTCCTCACCTGGAGAAACTCTTCTCACTCAATTTATGTGACCTCTCCAGTCCTTAATTTCCCTGATCTCCAGTAAATGGCTGTTTAGTGTTAGTGTTCATGAACTCTTCTTTGGAGAAGGGGTAGTATTCATAGGTGTCCACAAGGAACTACCAACTCATTTCACGTATCAGCATTTGACAGCTGTTTGGTGGTATATTATGTCACTTCTGACTGAGTCTGAGCTGGCAGCCAAGAAGTGAAAGACTCTGCGTCTTTGTGTTAGCTCCCTGGGGCTTCAACTCCCAGCTTTGTATTTGGACTGAACTTCCTCTGTTAATTTTTGTATAGAGATTCTTGCCCAGCCTTCTTCTCTGAGCAGGCCTCTGTGCTGGTGGCAGCTTTTGCCTTAACAAGTATTTTCAAACAAAGGATGAGTCACAGGTTTGAAATGCCTTTCCCTGTCATCTTAAATCATCTTCCTGCACCCGCCACACAGTCACCCACCTGCAAACTGTTCAAAATGAATTTAATACCAGTGTAAACTGATGCAACTCCTCCCCACTGAAGGCAATTGAAGTTTTTCCCACTTATTCCTGGGGTGAATTTGACCTACTGGGGATAGCAAACTCTTTTGGGAGCTTCCAAGATTGACAGTATTGTTCTTTCTGTTATTAAACAAGCACTTGGATGCTGTATTGATGGGGACACTTAAATACTGGGCATGCTAGTATGGTGCAGTTCTTACCACCTCAGCCAGATGTAAAGGTTGCATTTTGGCTGAACTTTACAGATGTTAGTGAACCCTCATTTCATTTCCTGCAGTGGTAATGTGTAGGACACACATAGCAAGATCTTCCATTGAGTAGGAAACTGATAACTGAACAGCAATCCTATGGGTGGGCAATCAGCTGTGAGTCAGGATAGCAGGTAGGGGACCCAGAAAGTTTTAAGAAATAGCATCCCATGTATTATGCTGGCTTTTTCTGTCCTAAGAATTGTAATATTTGTATTAAGCATTTTTGTGTGAGTATCTATTAGCTACTGGGGAAGCTGCAAAGCCACACTAGTGTATAAAATTGATGGGAGGGATCCATCCCTCATTAAGGAAGTAAATACACTGGGGCCATTTTTATACTGTGTAGTACTAAAAGGTGTGGAGATCCCTGAGGGGCTTCTCAGGTCTGTATAGTTCTGATCACTTGAATGGCTCCTTGGCATTGTGGATTTGGGATTATGAGGCTAGCTGTATGTAGGAGGGCCTAACAGTGTACCATGAAGCTCTGCCAGTTACTACAGCAAGTAAGCTTCCTTGAAGTGTAAAGCTAAGTATAAACAGTCAAAAAGCCTGAGGCAGAAGCAAGCAGATCTACTCAGGTTTCTCTAAGCGCATAGATTGGACCGTTAACAAGTGGAACTCATGCTCGCAATTCATTTGGGGAAGGCAGGCAGATGCTGGCCAGAAAGCAGGGGGGGTCTCAGGCTCTTAAGCCCCAGTTTGTCTCATCCAACAGACATGCTTTTAAAAGAGATGCTTTATAGGTACTGTATTTCTTTTTCCTGCACACCTCCCAGCCTACTGGACATTGCCACGGGTAGCTGAGCCCAGCTGAGTAGGGGCCATCCCTGATTGACTGCCTCGCACACACCATCAACTCCCTGTGGGCAGCTGCAGGGGTGGAGGCCGGCACAGAACATCTCCCCAGCCCCACTGCAGTGGGGGAGGAGGGAAGAATGGGGTCTGCCCAGCTGGGGTGGGGGGCATGCTGCAGGGGCTTTTGGGCTCTCCCAGAGCTGGGGTCTGCCCAGCTGTGGGGGAGGGAGGGGAGTCTCATGCGGTGGGGGATTTCCCCCTCACACTTGGGTGGGCTGTACAGCCCTGCCCCCCATGAATTAGCACCTCTGACTCTCAGGGGTGGGGAATGGAGCTCCCTGCACCTGTCCTGGCCCTCTGAAGAAAAAAAAAAAAAAAAAA